TAACTCTTCCCGCGACAGCCCCTTTTTCAATTTCACGAGTCTGCGGGAATTTCGCGCGCGGTATCCCGGACGAAACGAGCGAACGGGCTGTCCGCCCTACGCGCGGCGCGAGTACGAGGCGGTTCCTCTCGAGACGATCGCCGGCGAGGAAGGGGACGAAAGGAAGGCTCGAAAGGAGGGAAGAAGGCTCGTCGCTTGTGCAAACAGAGGAGCCAGTTTTCGCGCCGCGCACGTTGCGCGCCGCGTCTGCACCTCCCCGAGATCCATCACCTTCGCGTACCACCTCCTTGCTGCCCCCTTTTACCTCCACCTGCCTTCCTGCCTCCACCTTTTCCCAATGTTACTCTGCTCTCTCACCTCTCACGGCGCTCTCAACCGCCGACAACGAGCCTCTCTCGGCCGGCGATTACTCAAGCTCCTCTCAGTGAAACAGAACGGCGTGTGCTGCTGCACGGGGGATCGAGACACTGTGAGAGCGTCCTCGAAAAACCGTGTACACCAGGACCTCGACCGATCTCCGGGAATTCAGAGTATCCTAAAGCTTCATCGATGTCACGCGCAACCGCTGAATTCCAGGCGGCGGTGATAAAGTCGGTCTTCTATGAAACAGCTTTGTATTCCGCGGTAAATTGTTGAGCGAAAGCAAAGTTGTATAATGCCACGCAATCAAGCAGTAATGCAAACAATGCATATAAAAATTCTCCGGTGAATTGCTTTTATATGTCAAGATCGATAAGTAGGTAAAAGGATGCGTTGAGCGATTACGCATCATTATTTTTTTTTCCTACGTAATGTATCCATTAATTTAATCGTCGCGCTAGATGCGCGCTTAATATATCGCGCTGCGATTTAAATGAAGTTCGTAATATTAGAAATGTACAAAAAAACTGGCTGAGAGCGAGAGAGAAAGACGCAGTCCGGAATGATAAGTCATAATTCAAATACGTCAGAAATAACACGATAATAACTATGATTTGCAATCAAGGTAAATAATAATTATCGACTTTTCGTTACCCGCGCGCCGAGCAAACACAGATGCGATCGACGTGACACGCGGTACTTATAATTACACCACGACGCTTAAACGCGCACTTAAACGACCCCCTAAACACATCTCACGAAGCGCCTCGTCTGACGCTTGATGTTCCGAAATCGGGTGTCCTTCGGATTGACATCCGCGCGGATTTCGACGTGACAGGTCGCGAAAGAGGGAGAGCGATAGATCATATCCCGTACAAGAGAAGAGACTACGCGAAGCGGGGGAATCACGCGCCAGCAGCACCGATCGTCCGGAATGGAATTTAATTATTCGAGTCGCGGCGGGCTGTGATTACCGCGTCAGCCCGATAAACCAGGCTTCACCTGTCGCACCTTTGATCCATCCTCGTGATACCTCGCGCTGCATTCCCGTCTTGATGCGCCGATGTTCGTCTACTGTGCATCGCCGAGGCGAGGACGATCCATCCCCGCGCGCTCGCATCTCCGACCAATCGTGCGTTTAGGTGTTAATGACAGGGTCGCTATTATACGCGCGCGCGCGCGCGCTCATAACGAGAGAGAGCCCGCGCGTCTATACGCCGCGTCTTTCTTTCCTCTCCCGCCTTTCTCTTTTGACTTTTTCTCGCGCTTTACACGGTCGGTACCGACCATCTCTCCCTCGCGCGTTGTATTATAGCTTTCATAACACCGACGCCGCGAAATTGTAGCGCCTCAGTGGTTCTCGGCCCGGCGCGTCGTCTCACCTTTGCACCAAGGCCGGCATCAAACCAGCAGTTAGTGGACGCGTCGGTGCGTTTTGCGCAATAATTGCGTATAGGTTTCTTCTTTCCGTTTTTCGAGGAAAACGGCCGAGACTCGAAATTTGTTCAGCTTCTGACCCGTGGCGCTGCGGGTCAATTGAGAGATGAAATCGTTTAAACAATTTGCTTGAGCGCGATGGAAAAATGTTCGGGTAGTTGCGAACCTGTAACAAGCGGCGAATTGGTTCCTATATCGCGAGGAGCACGTAGAAGTAATATATGGGATCCATTCTTCTCTCCCTCTATCTCGCTCTTTTCCTCTTACGCGCAGGTCCATCCTACCAGTTATTATCCGGGGTAATCGTGCCTAAAAGCCGGTGCCCGCTTTTGATTAAAATTGGCTTTTAATTCATTTGGCAGCCTCTAATCTCGCGGCGGCTCCGATCAGAGGGAACCAGAGCGAGGGCGACGTGCCGGCGGGGAGGGGAGGGCGAAGTAGGGAGAAGTTGAGGGAGAGAAGACAGAGGTTTGAAGCGAAAAATTTAGTGGCTTCCTCTCTTCGCCCTTATACGTGCCGCCGAGCTTGCGAGTGCGCCATGAATAAATTCCGTTGTGGCATCTTTCGCCAAGATATATTACATCGATCGATTACGCATAGGTCTGCTAAAGGAGCGCGATACTTCTTACATGTAAACTTTCGACATTTTATATCTTACGAATAACATGGAGTAGAAAAGATTGTCGAGAGATATTCTTAATTATCAATCTATTAAGAATAATTCTATTTTATAATTGTCGGTCGATTCAGTCTCTCATTACTGTTTTATCTCTTTAATCACAGAATTTAAGAATCAACTGTAGATTAATTCGACGGTAACTCAAAGCAATTTGTTATATTTATCAAAACTCTTTCCGCACTTCTCACGAGTATAATTCCAAGTATTTTTGCTGATATTAGAAACGCTTATTGTGCTCGGCTTACACACTAGCAGCACACTCGGGGGAGGAGATTCATCGGCCGAAGAGATCCGTCAAATGGAAGATTGAAATCAATGCGCCGTAGACGGCTGTCTAGAAACTCTCCGCGCGTCTGGCAACTTACTAACAAACGCGTCAGCACTCGAATGGCGCGCCGGTCTCACTTCCCTTCTTTGATAACGATAACCATCGCTTCGAAACGAAGCGACGGAGTTTCGCCACGATTGCTTCGGTCGCCGACGACGATGTCGACGGCGACGAGGCACCGGAAATGTGAAAGTTCGGTAATGGGTAACTGGAGCGAGCAAACACGTACGGAGGACTTTGTGAGACGCGTCGCTGCCATCGGTTTGTTATCATCGTATCTTTTTCCGCTATTGTGTACCGCAGATATTGCACGACGCATACCTAAAATTCCGGTGTCATGAACCGGAAGGAAAGGAGTATGGACTCGCGCACGACAGTTTTCGACTTGTTTGCAACGACCGCGATACTTATATTATCATGTAACGCGTATTCTGTGTTCATCGATTCGCTAGCTCCGGTTACGATCGAATTTCCATATCCTGTGTAATTCATGGAAAATCTTATTCTAGAACGCGCAATGTTCAGATAGCACGGTTAGATATTTCGAACTGATTTTTTGAATTATGGAAAGAATGATATTTCATAAAATTTCTTACTGTTTACTAGTCGGTGAACCATCTTCGATTAATAGATTTTAAGAGAAAAAAAAAATATTTGAAATCCGTTATCAGCTTTATCGACATTTGCAAGTAACATTTGTTTTCACAGTAATGAAAATAATTTCGAGACTTCAATTTTGTCAATTAATTACCGATTGATTGATCACGACTGATCGGATGGAGAGATTACAATTTTCTGATCAAATATATGATTCGTTGAAATTATTAAATGCAGCATCTGTGCATCTCGTGATTGATGAATTGGTTGAAAAAATGATTTATGTTCTTTACTCATAAAGATTTATCGGTCAAGTTTTCATTAAACTATTTTTTATTGTGAATTCAAAATATATGAAACTTTTTTAATAATTTTTTTACGAGATATTTTGATAATCTTACGTGCGAAATAATCTACTCGAGAAATGCGATGTGCATTTTGTGCATATTTATCGCTTATTTTAATTATAAAGCGGCGCGTATTTTATGATTAATCAATCAGTTGTAAACGCTCTCGAAATGCATTTCTCAATTATGGTTATCTGTTAATTAACGCTTAATTTATGAAATTTTTCGATCCTTTACTGCCTTTAAAAGCCCAATTTCGTTGGTATTTTCCACATGGATTATCTAGAATCAAACGGTGAGTGGAAGGGACAATTGTTTGTCCCCTTTAATGACGCTATTGGAATCGGTGTCCCATTGCGAGGTAGATCCAATTAATTAGCGTAAGTGGCACAATTAATTGGCGCACACACTGTTATAGGCGAGCGAGACAGCAGTTTGAGATTAAGTTCTCTCTCGCTTTTTTTTCGTCTACGAAGGTCTGTGGAAGGCGACGAGAGAAAAAGATGTAAACGGGAGACCGACAGAGGTGAGAGAAGGAAAGAAATAGACGGAGCAATGGAAGGGCTTTACGAGGCAGTTCGGGGACATTCTTGATTTTGATGTTGGGAGGGTATCCGACGAGAACCACTTGAATTTAACGAGGCTCCGGCAAATGGGCCACCCTGCAGACTTCATCTTCTTTATTTTCTCTATACTACTGAAGCTCATGTCGCACTAGTAGCCCATGGACAAACACTCGATCTCGAGATTGCGCCTTCCGTCACAAAGTTTCCGAGAAACGTCGCGATCGGCTCTAGACAAACCTACCAGCGAAGGGACAAAAATTTGCTTTTCTACTTCGACTCTCTTTCATTACGGTTCCAACATATGTCGAAATGAAGTAGTATCTTAAAGTGTACAGCGCTATCTTCGAGTTTAATATACAAGGAGGATGTTAAATACTTTTGACAATAAATATTTGCATAAAACGCGAATTTCTTTTTTTACGCGCAAAATTAACAATACAAAAATGCTTACATCTGCTATATTTTCATTCTTACAAACGATAGGAATGAAAAAGAATCGAACTCGGCGTGTCTGACCTAGATTCGGTAACACGTTACAGAAATGAATGAACACATCGATGGACATTTCAGAAGGAAACAAAAAAAAGTTGCACACCTGTACCCATCCGGTTCTTTTTTTTCCCCATCCGGCGGACAAAGGGTGCCTGCTTCTCGTTCGACAAAATTTCGTAACACCAGGTAGGAAGGGTGGAGAGAAAGAAATGAAGGGACAGAGCGAGAGAAAGAGGGACGGCGCTCTGCGCCGGTTCAGTGCAACGTGCACTTCGGGGTCGAGGCTCGACAGGATCTGCTAAGTGGCAAAGCACACACCGGACGGTCTGTGCCTCCTTCATTAGCACCAACTAGCCTCGGCGGCAGGTTTAGCCGAGTCTTTTCTTCTTTTCTCAGTGCCGAAGAGCGTCCGGTGGAGGGGCTCTGGCGTCGTTGTAGGTACGCGCCATAAACCTCGACGAGGTCTCTTCTCGGAAATATGCCAGCGCGCATACCGAAGCACAAAACGGCTCGCTTTGTGCATCTTGTCGCTTGTCCTCTAGGATCGGAGCCTCGTGCTGAAATTGCAAGGGTTTCTCGAACTCTGTCGGGTGCTCCTGAGTTATTCTTACGTTTACAATGCATATTATTCTGTAGGAAGTCGCAGTTATTTTCTTCCCTAGAAACAATAGATCTAAAAATAATTTTTACGACCACGCGCAAGGGGATTTTATTGAGATAAGAATGTTTTATCCGCGTGTGATAGCGCGCGTTATTGGCATTACGTTGCGACGCGCTAATAAAAATTTTTCTCTTTTTTTTTCATGTTACAGAGAAGCTCACCACACAATCGGAAGATTTCAGTAAGAGGCTGTACATCTTTGCGGAGAAGAGCCAACGATATATTTGCTTCAATAGGCGGTGGAAACTCGTTGGCCTGGTAATTACTCGCCTACCAATTAGTAGACATACTTCATCATCCCGAGTGAGCGGGTAGATTTACACGCGTCGGTAAACGCCTCGCATTGCACTGTTCGTAAATTTCTATTCATCACTTACGCGGGGCTATAATTTAGGAATTGGATTATTAACAGTCTGGTGATTTAAGGCTTCAACGTTTACGACGTGTATTAAGCTTCAATCTCACGTGATTCATCGCACGTTAAGTATCGCTCAATTAATTGAATTCGTCTAGACCATTTTCGGATAATTATTATTTACCTTCAAAGGCTATGATGAAAATTACACGCAAACCATCCTTGATTTCCATGTTTGGCGCTTCCATTTTTGATCGGTTCAATAACACAGATCGCGCATTCTAAAAGAAGCACCGTTCTATCGATTCACATTAATAATTAGCGCGTTCTCTAGACATTTTTAAATTTGTGCAATCTTGTGTACTAAATATTTTATATTACACATGAGCTATATCTATTCTATTCCAAATAGATATTAGATTCGTAATGTTACGCAATGTCAATTCATTTGTGATATTATCTCGGGCCGCAAAGGGTTAATATTGAAAATAGCAAGTAGTACATAACGAACCGTTGACCATTTACTTCTAGCCGAGGAAGCAGAAGGGACCGATGTGCCAGTTTTATGAGGAATACAAGGGCTCGTATTTGAGGTACAGGAGCGCCGTCGACGAGACGCGGTTTATCGGCTTTAACAAGATTGGCAAGCCGATGAAGAACCCCCACGGCAAGCAGGAGTGCTTCAACTTCATCAAGTTCAACCCCCACGCCGACATAAACCACCACAACAGCCTACTGAACGCAGAGGTGGGCGGTATGGAGCCGCGGGAGCCGTATGAGCGGCACGGAGCCGTCTCGAGGAAACCGTCGTCGATGATGAGGGCCACGAAGGCCCCTCTCAGGGCAAACTCCCTGTTGCAGGCCAACAGTGCGAGGCAGCCCGCGCACGCATCGTCCACGCACCATCGTCGGCACTCGAATCAATGGAAGATGCGACCGGACAGGACGGACACGGTGTCCCGGAGACGGCACGACCGCCGCCTCCTCGTCGAGGCGAGCAAGAATTGAGAGCCGCGTTGCGATCTCGCTGATCAAGACTGCCTCCTCCATACCCCGTGAGAACTTGAGATCAGACTGCCAAATATGCTGGTGGATCGCACGGTCGGGATGTCAGGAGCCCACTTAAAAAGAAAAAAAAAAACAACACACAAACGGCGCCTCGTGTGTCGCGACTCGAAGCACCGCGCGAAATTCGTTCGATCGCGATCGGCGAGTCGAGAACGCGAGCACGCGCGCCTCAGCTGCGCCCGTTTTGGTTTCCGTTTTCGCGCCCGGAGCGGAGCGACGTTTCCCGGGTATCGTCGCCGAGATAGCTCGAGATCCAAATCGGGGGAGACGCATGAGGTGGAAGCGCGAGTTCCCGTTCGATGAAGCCATCTCAATTTCATACGGTTAAGTTCGATTTACACTTGCCCCGACTGACCCCTTCAAGGCAAGTACGTACCTCGTAACGGTAAGAGCGTTTCTTTTTCTAATCGTCGATTTCTCGTGAGTTTGGTTTGCGTGATGAATCGCTCTTTATCTCTCTTTTTCCTCCCATCTCTCTCTCTCTCTCTCTCTCTCTCTCTTTCTGTCTATGTATCTATCTATCTATCTTTCTTTCTTTTCTTACTTTCGTGACGAAGCTTGGCCGATTAGTGTACTTTTCTTTCGCACTCGATGCTGCGCGTTGCGGTAAATGCGCGGTACCGCACCATGTAAATTCATTCGAGTTATGCCCAATCGATCGATTTAGCGATGCAAACGGAAAGAATTTCACGTCGTGTAGAAATCGTAGCGCAACCCGAACGGCTGCTGTGCTTCGAGCGCGGTCACCGGCCCGTGATGGTAGCGCAAAGAGACGCGCGGACAACGCGCGCCGATGGACATATGTTTCCTTTGCTCGACAGAGATCTGACCTTCAGACATTGTAAAATTTGTGTGTGTGTGAATATTAATATAATTCGCAAATCTACTTAAACAATATTTATATAATTTATATATAAAAATTCGATCAAGATCACAATTTTCCAAATTGTCAAGACATGCTCGTCACTTTTAGAATATAATTTTAATTTTGATACTTTATAAAATAAAGGAAACAAATTTATACTTTCGCTTGCGTTACACTCGTGCAAGTGATTGCATCAATTCATCCATTCAATTGAATCAGACTGTTCTCTAAAACAAATTACGCGACGAAAATCATGACGTCTGATACGATTCGTTCTTTGGCGAATTAAAGCACGAACGCTATCGGCGCTGCTGGTCCAGCGAGGAAATATTTGTCACGTCGCGGACGCTCGTATGTCGCCACTCTTACGCCCGTCTGCGCAGTAGAGCTCACGCCACGCAAGACTCTCTCGCTCGCTGTGCTAATTACGCCGCCTAACGTAGCGTGCGTGCGTGCGTGCCTGCCTGCGCCTGCCCGCGTGTATGAATAATGTGTGCGTGCCTGCCTGCGTGCGTACGTGCGTGCTCGCGACGTACACGCAGGCCTTACCGCCGCCGACGCACAAACTCGCGGCGCGATCGATTACAAATGTGCTGAGTCCGACGAATGCCGACAGTTTTTCGAATTTTTTCTTCACAATCCAAACTTGTTTTTCTTATTTTGTTCAAACATGATGATAATTAATTGCTATCGATTATTATTGTATATCGGGATTCTATCAACACCTTTGAATTAACGCAATGTTATTATGCCGTTTCGAAATAGGAGGAACAAAATGTTTCAGATGCAGGACATTTGAAGGCTCGACTTGAAAAAAGGCTGGAAGTGCCACATTTAAAAAAAAAATTTACTTTTGTATTTAGAAGAGCTCTCTATGTCAATAATAATACAGCAAGTGGCTGTACATGTAATTTTTGAAAATTATTATGAGATATAAAATGGAAGCAGAGAGTATTTTGGCTATACTGTTTTAAATAAATAAAATGTAATTTTTCATAAAATTTTCACTTTTGTACTCTTTCCAAGTATTTGTCTGTGTTCCTCTATTTTTGAAACACGCAATGGCATTGATCGATAAATTGTCGACAAGTTTAATTTCAAATAAAATTTGTCCTGAAATATTTCTTCCTTCGAATATTCGGACGACGGCGCGATCGGTTAGAGCTGCGTGTTTGTGCGCGAGCGTATATTATATTTGTGTGCATTCTGCGTGCATACATATTTTGTCTCCGGAACGCGTGTGAATGCGTGTAATATAATGCATTATCGTTAATGAACTTAATCCTTAGAACGCTATCGCAGACTGTATTATTAGGCTAGGTACATGAATATATGACGCGGTGACGATTCGGCGAAAAGAACCGGGGGCGCCGAGTTCCTTCAAACGCGCTCGCGAGAACGTCTTGTGCGATCTTATTATTTTCCGTTTCTAGTTTCCGTTTCTAGTTGAGCGCTGCCTTTACGCGTCACGCTGTTTTAACTTCTACAAGGCACAAGAAAGGCGCCCCGGAGTGGTTCATTTTCGCAGGCTCGCCACGTAAGGAGCGCCTGTCCCTTCGCCCCAGTAAGAAAAGAAATCGCTCCCTAGGTAGCTTATTTATTGAAATCATGTTTAGGGACTACGAAAGCCGAAACGCCCGAGAAACTCTTCGTTCCCCTTCTACGTATATATATGTATATGAAGATATGCGCTGCTCTCTTTTTATCATTTTCGTTGTCCACCATTAATCCTTTTCTTATTCTCTTCCCCCCTTTATCAACCACATCTCTTAATCGTCATTTCGTGCAACATCACGTCGACTACGAATCGTTTGATACGATGTCACTAATCATTCACTCGTGAATATTTCGCACACACATCAGCTTTTAGTTTATTTATATCTTTCTCTAAAGAAACATTTTCGCGTTAAAATCCCTTTTATATGAAAAGTAGCAATCGGTAATATTTTATATTTACGTTTCGTATTCCATTACATCGCTGCATAACAAGGAATAATATTCAAATCATGTACATTTCTAAGATTTTAATTAATGTTTTCGAGGAACTAAAATTTTTTTCCAAGGACATTTTTCTTTCTCCGCGTCCTTTCAATCGTTTTGATTATTAAAAGTCACGCTTTTTACGCAAAGTCTGAAAATACTCAATACCTGATTAATTTAATTGCATACGAATGGCAGTGCATAGAAAAGCTTATTCCTACGAATGATGTATGTGTGTTAAAAATTGTAGGGAGCAATGTGCACGTAGTAACGCCACGTTTCGTGCGACGAATCCAAGATTTAATTCTTACAACGCGTTTTGTTACAAATTAAACATCTGATTTTTTTTGTAACATTTTTTGTGCTCTCCCGAGAAAATTCCCGTTTACTTTTTTTACCGCGGATTGTTATTTAATTTAATTAATTCAAAGCTTTCGGTGATTCGTTATCGGCACGTGGCGAGTGCAAGCTAAGCACGATAAGATGTCGCGTGTAAACAGAAATTAAACGCCAGCAGCTGACCATGAAAAAGGCATAAAAAATCCGACGCTTATAATTTAATAACAGATAGCTAATCTAACGTGTATATGTATTGTATTGTAATATAGGTATTGTAACTCCGCCTCTAAAAATTAACCAACTCGTTTTGTATGTGTAAGCATAGCGTCACGTAGCGACGTGCAGAGAATCACCGCGGCGTTCACGGCGGTGCGGAAAAAATGACGGAATGATTTTTATGGAGTATGCGAGTCTCTCCTCGAAAGCGAGATATGTCACTGACCGTCGTCCTACATACATGTATAGAAAAAAAGGAAAAAAAAAAGTGATTCTCCCGACCAGCGTCATTCTCGCGAACCTCATCGAACTATTCGTAATTGAGTCATTGCGGGATTAATTTCGATGGAAGAAAATTTCATTAATTGTGTCACCAATTTATATGCTTTTGTATTGGTAAAAATTTTGTTCGGCCTTCAAACTTTATTAAACATCACGCTGACGCTGCGATCATCTTATCATCGCCGCGTGACTCGATTGCGAGCAGAGCATCACCGCCCGTCCCAACCTTACATCTCCCTCCTTTTTTTTACTTTCGCACTATCGACGAACCAGAAAACGGCAGATGAAACGAACAGAATACAAGAGATGAATCTGACTATCCTATAGATAGATAGTATACATAATGAATAAAATGAAGAAAGGTAAAATATAAATATTATATATATATATAAATATAAATATAAATATAAATAAATATATGAAAGATGATGTGTATTATAAGATATTTAATACCGACTTGTCTTAGGCACACCCGATGACGATCGATAACAATGAAACGATGATAATAATTATTACGATGATTGTTGTATAACGAACGACGACGATGATGATATTCTACACTGTAATTCGCGTTGTAATATAGAGGCCCACCCGTTACCCACTAAATCGATGTGTCGATGTACCCCGGCCGTGCTGTGTCCGTGTGCGCATCCCGTGGGAGGATGAACGAGCGGGAGATCGGGCTTAGCAGGTGCATCGCGCGCTGGACGACGGCCAATCAGCCGAACTGAGATTTTTCTACGTGAAGGACCGGGAGCCACTTTCATAACTGGCCGACGTTCAACGATCGTCGCACCCGAGATGGGAAATTAAATCGGTTACGATCGCGCTTTCGCGCTACTCGGTCGGCATTAATCGTCCCGGCTTGTAGTGCGAAAGCCACCACGCACACACACACACACACACCCCTGTTTAACGATGTGCGGCTGCCTATTACGAACGAGCACAGCACGCCCGGCAGCAACTAGCAATAATATAACATTCCAACTTAAATCGCATACGTACTGCGAATTCTAATAATGTGTGCCGCCGTACGAGAAAGAAAAACACTGTCAAATACACGCTCATACACTGCTATCCGTCGTATTTATTATCATACCGACTACTTATCCTCCTTAATGGCCATAATCCTCAGATCCAGCACGCAAAACGACAATGTGGAAGGAACGGTAGCTAAACCAGTCTACGGAGCGATAAAGTAACGGATGTATGATTTGGTCCAGCGAGTTATGCAAACCGCAGAAATGTTTGCAAAAGAAACGAGCGAGACGGGTTTGTCTTGCATGTAATGTCATAGCGTACATAGTTAATCTCATTTGCATTTCTTTCCCCGAAGTTTAAAAATGCATAATGATAACGTTTCTGCCGGCGATATATTGGATGATTTGTTTCTCGCGAAAGCACCGAGTTTATTCGCAACAGATAAAATGATAAATATGCGTCGTATAATATTATACAGTGGCGGTGCCCCAAATTCGCCGTGTAGCAAACATTATCGTTACAGATCTCTTAATGGCAGTTCTAAAAAAAAAAGGGGGGATTTCGTCGTGAAAGGAATTCAACTTCATAGGGAGCGCCGAATTTTTACCGATGATGGATTTGTGAGACTCTCAATATACTTACTCATCCACTCGAGCCGTCTCGAGATCGAAAGCCGAAATCAAACACGTCTTGACGGCAAGGGACGAGGCGGCAACGACCCGAGCGAGAGGTTCTTTATTTGCAGCGGTGGTGAAGAAAGAATCGGGATTTTCCACGCCGAGAGGAAGACAGGACGTAGGAAGATGTCTCACGAATCTCTCGTGCTATCCAAATCCTGAATTATTTCCCACAAATGTCGCGCTGTAATCTCCCAGTCGAGTATTTAACTTAAAATCGAGCAGACGAAAAAGAAAACCGTTGAGTTGCACCCTTCTTATTATTATACAAAATATATCTGTCCCATCCTCCTATCTCTCTCTTTCTCTCTCTCACGCACTTCCGAATCATCGCGTACCCCTTTTCTCTCCTTACCTGTCCCCAATCCCTCTGTATCAGCGTAAATTCACGCGTCACCAGCTACGTTGACAATGTCCTACGGTGCGTAAGTTCCCGCATCTAGATCCCGAGATTACCTTCGTCGGCGCGCGCTTTCGTGCTCCCCCATCGGAAACTCTATCTTACCGGATAATGCCCGCAATCCGCTTTCGTCCGGGCGGATTGGTGCCCCGGGATTTCACACGGAGTCCACGCACCAGTCAACGGTACAACAAATGAGGCGTTTAAGATGCACATTACGAGATTTCTTTGACTAAGAGATATATGCGTTTTTATCAATGATCTGAATTTCGAATAGCAATTGTTTTATTCGCTGAACCGATTGCTAGCTACTTGTATACTAAAATTCTTTTAATATCTTTTAGTATTCTTTTTAATAGAAATATAAATTGTATTGTTAAATACAAGATTTACTCACATCATACACGTGAACGCAATATTATCATGTAATAATTTATTATACTAATTTAAAGTTCAGACGCTTATAATCCAAAAATTATGCTGTATATTCATGTTACTTTGATTTCTGGTTTTCAATTGTAGCGGTAATTCCGGAATATATATATATACTTTACGAATATCTGGACACGAATGTGAAAATGTCAAAGGTAAGTACTGTGAACGGTTCGTGGATTCACGAATGCGACGGCAAGACGTGCCGTTGGCGGTATGCCCGCGCGAGAAGAGGGTCCGCGCAGTCTCCAATTAAGATCTCTCAATTAGCGTATCTTATCTCGCAGTTGCTTATCTGCCGGCCTGCCCTGGACAGGTTCCCGCGTGTTTCTCCGATCTCCCGACCAATCCCGGATCGAGCGATCGGCCGGTCTATTTCCCGGCCGTTGCTTCACCTGCATGCACGCGCGTGCTTTGTGGCCCGCAGCGGTGCCGCCCTCGTTAAATCGAGCGAACCGTCGCGCCGGGAGAATATTAAGTCAGCGATCATTAGAAGAGATTCTATCCGTGATCGTCCTCTTCGCTCGCGGCCGCTGGCCAGCTGCGATATTTCGTAAGACGTTTCACGGGAGAGCCGGATACGCACCGCCGCGCTCTCGGACGTATCTTCGCAATTAGACGCGCGTGTACGCTTAATTATCCTGCATATCGTACGTCCATTAGAAATATCGTTTATTCCCCAGTGAGATTAACAGACGCGACTTTGCTCATAACTTGACACATTATTAGCCGTTGCGAATACGATTGGGCGTTGCTTCTAATGTACGAACATATAAATAAAATTGTTACGCGTAATTTAAGACGTGTATTTAATCATTCTTTTACTGTATTCTTTTTTCTGTCATTTAGAGATCTAAGTTGGATTAGTTTTAATATTTGTCGATTTGATGGAAATTTTTATTAGAATATTGTCGATATTGTCGGTATATTCTATTGATTCATAGCTTGCAAATTCTTTGCCGTGTGGCCTTTCGTTTTATATTCCTTTTACACACGCCGTGCGGTTTTCTTTTGAAATGTCTCCATTTAAGGAAACTTTAAAAGGCGGTTGTTCTGCTCTTTCAAAGAGGAGTGACTTGGAGACGTCCATTCAGTAAATTGGTCGCTGAGGCAATACCATCGGGTGGGGAAAAGTCCGACAATTCCGAAAGAGCAGTGACAATCCGAAAGTATCCGAGGGACGAATGAGAAAAGACCGGAGAGACCGCTCTAGGATGGAAGACTGGAGAAAGGAAAAGATTTTGTTTTCCGTAGCTTGGGCGATCTAGCAGTTTCTTGCATAATTCGAGTATACGAATATACAATCGCGCTTTGACTTTTAAAAATATCGTAAAAGTTTAGTACATTCTACAAGCATTGAATCACGTATATTTGCAATTATGCAAATTTTCTAACATATTTCATTATAGAGATTTTTCGCAATTCGTGTATCAATATTTACTACAGTTTGCTAAATTTAAACACGACGCGCGTCCGTCGTCTTTTAAAAAATCTTTGGAATGCTTTTACACAAGAGTCTCAATTTATCCCACGTTTCAGCGCGTTAGTATGTTTTTCTTACATCCTGTGTCTACGCGTAGGAAAAAGTTAAATATTGAAAAATGCGATGATCCCCGAAGGAGCTGACTGCTCCGGCGACAATGAGGAACTGACCTCGGTAAATATTCGACGGACAGCCCGCAGCATTGTGGCGCGTCGACTTCTCCTTTAATCGCCACAAATTCCGTCGTGTCTGGATTTATGTGCGGACATGCCGGGTGGTCACCAACACGCCACGCAACGCCTTCGAAGAAAATTGAGAAAATTCTATGCCGATTTTTCGCGCGTTACGCCCCTTCCCTTCGCTCACACGGGCAGCGGAAGCACCTGGTGGACTTTCACTAGGGTTTTTCACCCTGACGCTCATCCGATTCTCGCCCGATAAATGCGACTCTTGGGAATAAACGGTTATCCATGCCTGCGTGAGATCCTTTGTTACATGCTCCGCCAGAGACACCGTTCTCAAATATGTTTCAAATTTCTTTCCCAAAGAAATCCACTGGAGATTTTAAATGCATATATTGCAAATATTTCTATTTTTTATTCTATCAAATAATAAGATAACAATGACTGACTCTGTTCAAGTGCAAATACATTCGAGTACGTTTGTATAAACCGTTTTTGTCCCGGCAAAATATGAATTCCATGGGACGCATTCATCAATTCTGGCATTCACACTTTTCCCGAGACATTAAACACGGCTACGTCCGAATAGAGTTCACCCCATCAACCTGTTATTGATCTGGCGTGTGGCCGATGACTGGCCGCATATATAAACCTTTGAAAATCATTGAGGTCTCTCGTGAGATCATCTTATTACCGGTTCCTTTTAATTGGACCAACCACGAGAGTACACATATAAATGTGTACCGCTTTTTCGACGATCGGCCTTATCGGCCCATTATCCGTGACGACGGCTACTTCGTAACCGGAAATATCGTCGATCCTAAATGGTTACACGAACGTGAAGGGGAAGGAGAGGGGGGGAAGAGAGAAATGGAAAACGAGGAGGCGGAGGACAACTCGTAATTCTGAACAAAGCTCACCGACGAAATCGTCAATTCCTGCTAAAGACCGATCTGTCAGATCGATAACGTGAAATGCATTATTCTAGTCTCTCAATGATCCTTAAAAAATTTTAATGACGGTTTTATGTTTAAGGTAGAAAGAATGAAAGTTACTATACGCAGATAGATGAGATAACAATCTATGTAACTCACAGCTAATACAAGTTGCATAACGTAACTTAAAATCGAATATTGCTTAATTTTACTTGAATTAATAATAATTTAGATACGACTAAATGTTTAAAAAAATGTTGCAAAGTTTCGTAACTTTAATCTTAATTATTTCTAGTATTATTTTATGTAAGTGGCTTTTTACATGCAAAATTAAATACGCACTCAATATATTATTGCATTTTATACTATTTATCTTATTTGTTTTACTTCTTATCTACGTTCGTTATCTGGTTATTTGTAGCAAACGCAATTCCGCATGTAATTGCTTTCAATACGTAATGCATAGTTTTTTACAACGATAAAAGTACTATAAATCAAACATTATTTTAAGCCGTTAAATAATTCTTGTCATTGTTTACATAACTGTTTTTACAAGATTCGATTATATATAGAATGTAATAAATATATGAATTATTATCCCCAAGACGTCAATAATGATAATGAATTTTTGCTGATTTCCGCATGATTTATAATGTTCATTTATGCGAAAAATTTGACAGCACTAAAATTCGTTTCTTCATTAGTCATATGAATATTCGAGACACCTTATTGATTGTTATCACGTGAGTTATTTGAAATGTTCACGATAGTCGAAAATTCATCACGAGACATAATAATCTAAAGATCAATAAATCATCGATCGGCACGTTATCAATCCCTGTAATGCGCATCGCGGCACGTGTGTGGAGTGTTTTTAAAGAATCTTACGTGAACTATCAGAGATAATATTCTTGCAAGATTTTTTTATATAATTCAAAAACAGAAGTTTTGTTTTTTTAATCTTAACTTAACGGAAAGAAAAATTAG